GTGGAACCACTGAGACTATGGCCCCTAGCTGCCCTTCAGGTTTGGAATTGAACCCACACCTGTGGTTTCCAGCCAAACAAAATACAGGCATGTGAATTAAACATTTACCTCAAGTAGATACACACCTTGGAGAGAACAATCATGGGAGAAAGAAGGGCTTCTTATGTACAGGGAGACAGCTCAGGGGGCAGGAGTATGGAGGCATTGACAGTGGGAAGAGGTAACTATGGGGAGGAAGTGGGAGGGGAGCTGTTGCATTGTGGTAAACTGTGGTTAATGACAGGAGACAAAGTATATGTGAACTGCCGTATGGAAAGTGAATTTGCTCTGTAAATCTTCACCCAAATCACAATAAAAAAATATATAAATACTTACAAAACAGTAATGTTTCTACCTCATAAGACATCTTTGGTCTATCTTTGAAATGCAGATTATTTTCTAAGTAAACCCATAATACTTCATGTATCCTCTTCTCTATTAAGTGCATTTTTATCATGCCTTCTTCTCATTCCTCTTGCCCTTTCAACTAATTTTCTCTCCTTTCCTCTTCCCTCCCCTCATATTCCTTTGTTTGCCAGTGTATTAACAGAAAAATTCAAGAGCATTGGTTAAGATTACAAAGTTTGCTGAGCCCAAGTTTAGGATTCCAATTCTAAAAATTCAGTAATAGTCAATTGTATATGCTTTCATCCCAATTCCTTTACTAATTTTTGAGACTAAATTAGACAAGAGTTCAGTGATAAAGAGATGACAAAGTTTTACCAGAAACTGAACCCACTATGTCCGAGTCAGTTCTGACACGGTGTTAGTCACTATTCAATTGCTAGAGTAACTGAACAAAGCATAATATGCAGATTCTGTATAAGCACAAGGAGTTCTAGTGGTACAGTTGTTAAAGTACTCAGCTGCTAACCAAACGGTTGGTGGTTGGAATCTACCAGCCACTCTGTGGGAGAAAGATGAGGCAGTCAGCTTCTGTAAAGATTTATAGCCTTGGAAACCCTATGGGGCACTTCTACTCTATCTTATAGTGTCACTCTGAGTCAGAATCAACTACATGGCAGTGGGTTTGGTTTCTTTGGTTGGTGTTTTGGTTACTTTGTATCGCTCTAACAGAAAATACCACAAATGGGTGGTTTGAACAAACTAGGATGTATTCTCTTACCGTTTTGGAGGCTAGAACTCTGAGTTCAAAGTGCCAGCTGCTGGGTGAAAACCCTCAACCTAGGGCCTTCAGCTCTGCCTCTTGCTCCCGGCCCCCTGGAGCTAGAGGCTTTCTTCACTCAGGCAGCTGCTGGCTGCTGAGGCTGACAAAACCAAGGTCCACAAGTAAAAAGGCACGGTCCTGATATTACCAAACCACATGGCAGCCATTGAATAACAAGCTGGCAACACACAGGGTTCAACAAGCATGCCAAAAGCTAGGCACCTTCCTCAGACTTGCTTCTTATATGCTCCAAGCAGCTCACATGGCTGAAGCACCAACTCAGCTGCTGCAGCAGAGTCCACCATGGAGCTGATTACCAACCTCCCCATGGGGATACTACATCCAGCTGCCCAGCCACTCAAAACCAGCCCCAGCCAAGGTGACACATAACCTTAACCACCAGAGTTAGGTATAAGCCTGGAGCTAAAATAGAATTAAGCAAACACTCAGTATGATGGACTTGTTATAGAAGAATGTTGTTGTTGTTGTTGTTATGTGCCGTCGAGTCAGCCCTGACTCATAGCGACCCCTCCTTGGGTTTCCGAGGCAGTATCACTACGGAAGTAGGATTGCCCAACCTTCCTTCCGAGGAGTGGCTGGTGGGTTTGAACCGCCAGCCTTCTGGTTAGCAGTCAAGTGCCTTAGCCACTATGCTACCAGAGCTCCTTATAGAAGAATAAGGCAGTGAAAAGGTGCTGGGACACACTTTGCAAACTTCCTTCAGGGAAAAACTTATGTTTAAAGCTCGTCATGCACGTGCCTTCTTGTCCTTAGCAGATTCCGTCCAGCTGAGGGAGCTCACTCCCAAGCCACTGGAGAGGGGGAGAAGAAGAGAACCTGTATGACTGAGATCAACAGTCTCACTTTCACCAACTGTTTTTCAGGTTCTTCAAAGATGATCAAGTTATCTCTTTAAAAGCACAGTTTCATTATTGCTAAAGAGTTAGGCAGACATTCTCTTTAAAGCTTTTATCTGTTTTACCATATTTTGAAATCACTATATCCAGAAAAGTAACAGAAACCCAAGTTTAATTTTTTTAAAAAAAGCATATGGCAAGTAGTACCTTGGAGAATAATGAAGAATCTGCAAAACACCTCATAATGTGAATGAACTTGGAAGACACCTATGCTGAGTGAAATAAGTCAATCACAGAAGGACAAATATAAAAAGTCAAGGAAAGGTTTACTCACAGAAGGAAGCTTTCTTTACTAGTTACCAAGGAGAGGAGAAAAAATTGCTAGCTAGAAAAGACACACTATTGATTTGGGTAAAAGGAAAGAAAGGCAGTACTAAAATTTAAAAAACTAAAATTCCATATAGGGGCTGAAGATTCTGGCCACAAACCAACTCCCCAACTACCCCATTTATTATTCTCACAACTCACGCCTTCGCAACGCCATGTTAAGACAAGCTGAAATGAAAGATCACTGCTTCTGCCGCAACCCCAATTCACTCATCCTTCCTGTCAGAACCTAGTAAAAATACCATGGGAGGATCAGGTGATGTATCACCATGCCCCTCCCTCCTCCAGTAGATTTCACAATACTTCTCCCTCAAACAGAAAAAAGGAGTTCTGGTAAGGGCTTCAGTTATTCTTGCTTATGTTCCACTTACCGGTATATCTACACCACCTAGAGCAACCAAAACAAAACCAAAGTCACTGCCTAGCGACGCTCATTGGGTTTCCAAACCTGTAAATCTTTACGGAAGGAGATGGCCAGTCTTCCTTCCGCCGAGCGGCTGGTGGGTCACCAGCAGGGTCCTACCTAGAGCGACCGCTGGTACTGTAACAGAGTCTCAGATCTAAGAGGCGGAGGGGAGGCTGATTTAAATGTTCTCCCACTGTCCTTATCAGCCTTTTCTGCCTATTTTGTAAGTAACTCGTCGTCAGTTTTATTCCCTTCTCCTATGCGCGTGTGTAAGGAGCTCCAGTAGCGAGGTGCTTAAGTGCCTAAGGCATTCATTCGACTGCTAACCAGAAAGTTGGCGGTTCAAACCCACCAGCCACGCCATTGAAAGACTGCGTAATCTACTTCCATAAACATTTACTGCCTCGGAGACAATGGGGGTCGCTATAAGTAGGAATCCACGGATATTACTGCTTAATCTGGAAGAATTCCAGAATGAGAGAACCCACTCCAAAAGATGAGTTGGTCACTTTTTGCTAAAAAGTTGGCTGTACGAAACAAATGATGTAAGACAAATTTTGGTTAAGCAAGATAATACTTAGAAAAGCCATTATAGAGGTCCAAGAAAGCTGTACATATTTAAACCAAACCAAACTCACTGCTGCCGTCGAGTCGGATCCGACTCATAGGGACCTCTCCTTGAGTTTCCGAGGCGGTATCACTAGATTGCCCAGTCGTCCTTCCGAGGAGTGGCGGAAGGGTTTGAACTGCCAGACTTCTCTTTAGCAGTCAAATGCCTTAGGCACTACGCCACCAGAGCTCCCAGAACTCAGACGTTAAAATAGAATTCAGACGTTTTATTCCTGCGTTGAAATCCAACCAATGAATTCTTTCGAATATGTTAATGTCGGATTCTTCTCCATATTCTCAACAAAGTTTTACCCCTCTTTCCCACCTTCCTGGTAAGAAAGAATGGAACCTAGGTTCTGTACTAGCTCAGGCTCCATTCATCTTGCAGCGAAGGTCGGCGGCCCTCATCAGCACCACAGTTCTCACATCCAGCGCCTGCGCGCAGACCCCGCAACAAAATGCCGCGGACTTGGGGGTTGGTCGTCGTTTAGAATTCGTGTGGAGAAGCCCTAAAGTACCTTCTGCAGAAATATTATAGAATGCTGTTCCCCCCACCAAAAACAAAAAACAAAACACAAAAAAACAAAAAAAAACTCGAGTTTCTCCCAGATCTCAGTATATGTAAAAATACAGCAGCACCTCCCCTGACCTGCTAGTCCCACTGCCCAACATCCCCTTCCGCTCTGCCACGTTCCCCACCACCTCGCACCGCCCTTCCTCTTTCCCATGATTCCCTTCGGCTCTACCGCCAAGGTTTCAGCTCCGTGGTATTCGCTTGCTCCTACTCTCGTCCTCTAGCCCGAGGTCCCGTTACGTTCTCCTCGCGACGCCGCGGCCCCCGGAAGTCCCGCCCGTCACGGAGCTACCCTTATCCAGCCGTCCAGTTAGAATCTTGCATCCTGCTTTGTGTTGTGAGTTTGTCTAGAAAGGTGACTCTTTTAGCACACATTTTGTGTTTTCGGTTCTACCACACAGAGTTAGGGCTGACGATATAACTGGAGGGCATAGGCTTGCATCCTCTGTGGGAAATGACACCAAGATGACTACTTCAGGGATTGGCCCCTCTTGATATTATTGTTATGTGCCCTGGAGTCGGACCAGACTCATGGTGAGCCCTCCGTGGGTTTCCGAGGCAGTATCACTACGAAAGTAGATTGCCCCATCTTCCTTCCGAGGAGTGGCTGGTGGGTTTGAACCGGCAGCCTTCTGGTTAGCAGTCAAGTGCCTTAGGCAGTAGCTACCAGAGCTCCGGTTGATAACAGATCGAAAGTTGTGAGACATAGTCTCCACCATCAAAGGAGTATTCTGGCTGTACTTCTTCCAAAAAAGTCTTGTTTCCTCTTCTGGCACTCCATGGTATATTCAATATCCTTGGCAACACCACAATTCAAAGGGATTAGTGCTTCTTCGATTTTCCTTATTCTTTGTCAAGCTTTCACATTGAAAATGTCATTGCTTGGGTTAGACTCATCTTAGTCCTCAAAGTGACACTTTTGGTTTTTAAAACACCCTAAATAGGTCATTTGCAGCAGATATGCGTAGCGCAATTCGTTTTATTTCTTTGCTGCTTCCAAGGGTTGTTGTGGATCCAAGTAAAATGAAATCCTTAACAGCTTCCATCTTTTCTCCGTTTATGATGATGTCCCTTTTTGGTCTAGTAGTGAAGATTTTTATATTCTTTATATTGAGATGTAATCAATACTTAAGGTTTCGATCTTTATCACTCTACTTCGTTTTCTTCACTTTTAATAAAAGTTGTGTCATTTGCATATCACAGGTTGTTAATGAGTCTTCCTCCAGTCCTTGATGTGCCATTCTTCATATAGTCCAGCTTCTTGAATCTGGACTTGTATCTTCTTAGCATACAGATTAAATAACGAATGGTGAAAGGATGCGACCCTGACACACAACCTTCCTGATTCCAAACCAGGCAGTATTCCTTGGTTCTCTTCCAAGTACCTCTTGGTCTATGTTCAAGTTCCTCATGAGTGCAATTACGTGTTCTGGAATTCCCATTCTTTGCAATGTTATCCATAATCTGTTATGATCCACATAGTCCAATACCTTTGCACAGTCAATAAAGCACAGGTAAACTCTTTCTTGCGTTCTCTGCTTTAACCCAAGATCCAGCTGACCTCAGCAATGATAAACCTGCTTCCATATCCTCCTTGGAATCTGTCTTGAATTTCTGATAGGGGTTGATGTACTGATGCAACCATTTATTTATTTATTTTTAGCAAAATTTTACTTGCAAGTAATATTAATGATATTGTTCAATAGTTTCTGTATTATATTCAATCTCCTTTCTTTGTGTTAGGCCGGAATAAACTCAAACCACCAACATTTCAGTTGGCAGCTTCCTCCAGGTGTCAGGCCCTGATGAGACAGCCAGATAAGACAACCAAGGTAGCAGAACCTGCCCAGGCTGGAAAGTCCCATATGATGATAAACTTCCTCCTGTGAAGCCCTCTCATACTAATTAGGTGCAGACCCATGCCAACAGCTAATTGGACCCTGCCATTTCCTTAGTGTCCCCAGTCAGGTCCTCTCTGTGTCTATGAAAATCTATCCTCCCTGTCTGGGGGTGCAACTTCTCGGGCCCCTCTCAGGGACCCATGAACCACCTGTGCTCCCCTCAGGGACCCGTAAACCTCGCCCGGAAGCGCAGAATAAAAACTTCTCTTTAACCCCACTTTTGTGCGTCCTCTTCTCCTTACCGTGACCTTACACTTTGGAATGGGCACAGGTATGGATCTCTTTCTGTCAGTTGGCCAGGTAGCTGTCCTCCAATTTTTTTAGCATGGATGAATGAGCACTGCCAGTGTTGCATCTATTTGTTGAAACATCTCAACAATTCCATTAATTTCTGGAGCTTTGTTTTCATAATGCCTTCAGTGCAGCTTGGACTTCTTCCTTCAATAGCATCAATTCTTTATCGTATAACTCCCAAAATAGTTGAATGTCAACAAATTCTTTTTTGTACAGTGACTCAGGGTATTTCTTCCATCTTTTATTGATACTTCTTGCTTCAGTCAATATTTCACCCACAGAATCCTTCAATACTGCAACTCGATGCTTAAATTTTTTCTTCAGTTATTTAAGCTTTTTTATAGGCACATGACTATTATTGAATATAGTGTTTGTACTTATGCTTTTGCTGCTCCTTGATGCTTCTGTTTGGTTTCAGATAGAAAAAGGATAAAAGTGCTATTTTACTTTGTCATTATATGAGGGTTTGAGTAACAGATTTCAATGATCTTTTTAGTAACTTTGAATTTTCTCACTTCAGTTTCTTTTAAGCAGGATGTTTATAAGTTTAAGAGTCCCTGAGTAGCACAAACAACTAATGGTGCACTACTAGCCGAAAAGTTGATGGCTGGAACTTATCCAGAAGCATTTCCGAAGACAGTCCTGGCAATTTGCTTCAGAAAGGTCACAGCCTTGACAACCCTATGGCCCCAGATAGAATGAGGAAGAAATGTACAACCAAACTCAAGTTCCTAAACAAGGCCAGACTTGCAAGACTAATAGAGAGAGGGGAAACCCTCTAAGACTATCAGTCGAAGAAGCCCTTTGAACTTGGAGTTAAAGCCACTCCCTACGTCACCTTTCATCCAAATAATAGATTGGCTTTTAAAATAAACTGTCACCTGTCAGTACTGTGCTCTCTTAAATTATCAACTACATGAGACCAAAGAGTCAACATTAATCCTAAAGGAAAGATGAGAAAGCAAGTAGGGGCCGAGAAGCTAGATGAATGGAAACAGAACAGGATGGAAGTAATGAGAATGCGCACATATTGTGAAACTGGAACCAGTGTTACAGAACAGTCAGTATAAAAACTGTCAAATGAGAATCTAATGTGCTGTGTAAACTTTCACCTAAAATACAATAAGATATAATTTAAAAAAAAAAGAGTTCAAGCAAATATGGCAAAATTCTTAAATTTGCTTAATCTGGATGGTAGATAATGGGTGTCTATTATTTTTGTATATTTAAAATGTTCATCAAACTCAAAGAACTATTAATATTTTAAAATAATTAATAATAATAAGGAAGGAGGAAAGAAGAAAGAAAGAAAACTCAATGGTTCATTTCTGCCCTATACACGTAGAGTAGCCATGAGTTGGAATCAATTCAGT